CCATAAGCATTGATTCAGGCAATTGGGACACGATGACATGCATCAACCAAATCAGCGAGCCTGACCACACGATCCCGTTAGTCGCCTCTTACAACAAGCATAGTCGCCTTTTACCGCAAGCATGGGTTACTGAAGACCTATTCTGCCTCCTCAAGGAGCCCAGGTTCCCCGCCACCACAGGGAGCCCAAGGTTCTCCCGCCATCTCAAGGACCCCACCTTTCCCCGCCATCTCAAGGAGCCCAGCTTTCCCCCTCATCTCAAGGACCCCAGCTTTCCCCGTCATCTCAAGGACCCAAGCTTTCTCCGCCATCTCAGGGACCCCAGCTTTCTCCGCCACCTCAGGGAGCCAAGACTCCACCGCCACCCTAGGGAGCCCAGCTTTTCCCGCAGCCCCAGCTTTCCCCGCCACCTCAGGGACCCCAGCTTTCCCCGCCATCTCACGGACACCAGCTTTACCCGCAACCCCAGGGACCCCACGTTCCTTGGCTACGAGTATACACTCAGCAGAAAAATAGTCCGTAGACCAATACCACAACATACAATGCACATTACATTTCATTAAACATATGACAGATACAAACTAAGACTAAAAGTATTTCGGTTCTGGTTGCAGCGGTGTTGAGGCTGCTTGGCACGAGCGTCCCCGGAAGTGTATAACACACGTCCTAGTACACATCACTAAACTGTCCAAAACACTCTGTGTAACAGTTTTATTATGAAAGTAATGGTCGCTCGCATCTTAAAAGTTGTGGCCATCTGTGTAACTGGTTGTGAGAATATTTCCATTTTCCTACGCTGTTCATGCGCTAAAGTCTCGTGTAGAAGTCTCTTAAGACAGATGTGATCACGGAATGAAACACATTACATTCTCAATATACTTCATTGTCTTCAGGTTGAAATGTACGTTGTTTTCCAGGTATATGACATCAATATTCTTTCCACTTATGTACAGGCTGTTGTTGTAGTAGACAAGGCTTCTAATGCTATCACTGAAATCCAACATTTCCGTTGTAGTATTAGTTGATAAAGATCGCTTTATCACCTTCTTGTTCTCGCTGAAATATAGGACATTGTGTACAGTGTCAATAGTGACAGCAGAAACGTCACGTCTCATGTCTATCTGATGCAGCCTTTTCCCATCATAATCAACAGACCACAAACCATCACCTTTTTTACAGAAATAGATCATCTTCTTCCTGGAGTCTACAGCAATGCCATTGGGAATGTATGATCCGCGATAACGCAAGTTCACAATGCCGCGAAAGTTTTTCCCAAATGTTGACATACGACTGATTGTCCACGTCGGATGGTATGTGGTAAGGAAGATGAGTCGTCTGTCAACATCGACTGTCATTCCGGACGATTGGATTCCCTCTCGTAGTGTTGTGACACCCGACACGTCCAGCCTTGAGGAGAAGATGCCTGGTGGTGACATTCTACTGAAAATCAGTCTCCTGGACACAGGCTCGTATGTTACAGCCTCAATGTATTTTGTGTAAAGATGAGGATACGTCTTCATGTCGTTTTTATCTATGGTAATCAGATGGGGATGTTGTGAGGAGACAGAGCCATATCGTACAATCAATATTCTCGTCTTGTCTTGAAACTCTCGTGTTGTAGGTGTTGTAGCCACTGACGTGAAGGGATGTCCAGATGGAGTCGTGGGTGTGTAATGTTGGGTGGGTTGTGTACTGTCAGCATTGGTCTGAAGGTCACGTGTCATGTTGACGTAATTCAGATGAAAGTCTCCCAGTGTCTGCACATCTTCTGCATGACTAGCGTTAATCACAATTAAGTCATTTCTCAAACGTACGTTCTGTTTTACAAGGGTCTCAACTGTTCGTTGGGTTTCATTAATCTGTGCGTGTACGTCAGCACTCTGTCCTATGACGATTAACACGTGATCTTTTAGTAAACTCACATCCTTTTCAACATGGGTCACGTGATGGCGTGTCAGGTTCAACTCTGTCTTTAGTTCACTCACCTGCTGTTCACATGCATCTTTGTCTTTCACAGTGTCCAGTGGTTGTCTTGTTTTAGTCTGTCCGACCTCCCTCAACTGTCTTGTGAGACTCAGTGTCTGTCGCTCCATCTGCTGATATCCACGCTTGAGGTGTCTAATCTGGGACATCACGTGACTGTTTACCGTGGCATCCAACGACTCTATTTGACTACGTATATAGGAAGGTACAATCTTCTCCGTCAAATCCAATCTCAGCAGTAACTCCAAAATGTCCATCTTGTTTATGACTCTCGTCTCCATTCCTGGAACATCAGATTTCAAGTGGTTCAGTTCCACTTTCAGGTGGTTAATTTCTTTCTCAAGCAGACTCATCTGATTGACAACTGCTGCGATATTTTCGTGTCCATGAACCACAGATGAGGCTGCTACAAGCAGCACCGACACACCCAAACTCGCCATGTCAGCTGGTAATTGTAGAACTGTGTCACAGTCGTGTAATCCAGAGCTAGGCGTCACGTGACTATCGCATTACATCTAACCTGGCAGCGGGCCAAACGGAAACACTGGAATCTAACATGGCAACAGTCTAGAGTTCACTTGAGTTTCCCATCACGGGACCACACGGATAGTATCCATGAAGTCAGCTCACTGCCATTTTATCAATCAGTGGTGGGTGTACGGGATCGATCGATCCAATAACATGTTCATCTCAATGTACCAAAAGACGTTAAAAGATGGTAATTGTTGTTACCCTGTCTGGCGCTCGGCATTAAGGGGTTAAAACAAGGACTGGTCGGTCGGATATTCATGTTAAACTGCGGCATGGTATCTCAGTGAGATAGCACTATAAATCGGCATCAGTCGGACTAGTACAAGCAGCCACACACACACGTGCATGCACGTCGCTTTATAAGTGCAATAATCTTGGACGCGACGTTAAACCACATTTCACCTCAACCTCATCTCAATGTGTGACCTGACAAATTTAAATTTGATAATTTCATAACTTTAAAGATACCATGTGTTCTGCAAATACATATATGTACCGAATATTAGTAAAATGATGCATAATATTACATAACTTCATTTGTTTATAGTACTTGGTCATTTCACATTACATCAGGAAATATATAACTTCTAACTCATGAGTATGTGAGTTGTTTAATCTACAATGTCAGCACAGCACGGGTCAGCGAAACGGGTTCAGTGTCAATTCCGAAATACGTGAGTACGCTAAGTTTTCATCTTCGCATAATTTCAGAGACATGTGCATTTTCAAAACTAGCCTGTTACTGACAGGTTGCATGAAAAAAATTCTTTTAACAAAACCTTAGAATTAAACTATATTTTGTTTTAAAAACAAACTGTTATGACACACTTCTATTCAGTGGTGCTACACCCTTCATTGGCAGCTCACTGACACCGCTACCAATCAATCAATCAATCACATTATTTCTTTTCAAAAACGGAGGCACGGGTGGCCAAGTCGTGTAAGGCGCCGCGATTCGACATGCAGAGTTGCGTCACTTGGGCACACCAGAAACCTATGATTGTGGGTTCGAATCCCGGTTTGCCCCGATTATGTTTCTAAGCTTGTCAGCACCATACCCATATCCGTGCTCGTGGGTTTCACCGAAGTGGTAAACGTCTGAGACCTGCATCACTTCGGGCTTTCCTCCCACATTAAGCTAACATGCCGCGATATAACCGGAATACTGTTAAAAGCGACGTTAAACCCAATTCACTCACTCTTTGAGGTGGTACAGGAGAAAAGGTTCTTTACATGATAATAATTTATGTTTAACAAGATGTCGGTTATGCTGTACAATCATTAGGTAACAGATTCAGCACACACATTAATACACTCATATCCAAGGTACTTTTTGCAAAGTATTTGATGATTTTTGCAAGGTTCTTGATTTCTTTACATTTCTGGTACAAAACATTTCATGATGCTTGGAAATATATCTGAGATAAATTAGGATTTTGGTTCATGGAAAGCTTCATATTTATAACATAGACGTAAATAGTCAGAGACTGCTAGTGGTATATACTGTATAAATAGAGGTTATCACGCGAGTGTGTTTGGGGATGGTAAATATCCTGCATTAGGAATAAACATTGTATTTAGCGAGCTAAATACATAGTGTTTATTCCTAATACAGGATATTTACCATCCCCAAACACACAAGCGTGATAACCTCTTTATCATATAATGTCATTCTTTAATTCTGTGCTTCAAAATCGCTTTCCCTCTCTCACATACATAACCGAAACATTGCGAGTTTTTCTGGAATGCGCGCATTAATATTTATTACGTCACAGGGTAAGTGATGTGTCAGTCGGAAAGTGACAGTAGCCAATATAGTTCCAACTGAAATCTGTTTCTTATACAGTGGCGAAGCAACATATACGCAAAACAACAATTGTTTTTAATCGCCTTTCGCGGCAATCAATCTGTCTGTCCGCTAGAGTAACTGCCCTTTGTCAAAGGGAAGCTACTCTAACCTCACACTCCGTCGCAGTGGTGACTCAGCATAACACCACTGCCACAGGCTAATTTGCATATCACGTGACCGGACTTTTCTCTTGTTTGTAAACAAACGCGCTTTTTCAGAAATCAGTATAGAACGGACTAATGCAAGTATTTGGGGGCGCTTTACATATTGTTTTGCATAACTACATAGATATGCTACTACAACTGCGACAGTGAGTTGCATGACAATATATATTTATGCATCAAAGTGACCGTGTCGCTAGCTCTCAGTTGGGCTTCGATGACAGCACGTGGAGCCGTACAACCAATGTAAACATAGGATAACTACGCCAAAACAAGTAGATTTTTACGTATTTGCATACTTTCTCAATGAAAGTTAACCATTCTTTGACATTTGTTTATGAAAATGTGTAGACTTGTCAAACATGAAACGGATGAAAAGCATATGCAATATTTTGAATGGACTGTGAAAGATGTGACGAATCGTCACATGGCGCTGGCCTGTGGCAGAGGTACTATGCTAGCTGGCTGCCGGCCGCATGGAACTCTGGGTAGGAGAGTGCTCTAACCTTAGTCTATGAGACGTCACGGCCACGGTCAGTCGTTGTTGACAGTCGGTCTGTCCTGTCATAACGTTAAGAAGTGTAGTCAGATGTACACACAGCGACAAAACGAAACAATGTAACAATTCAAACACATTTCGGACAAATCCAACTATTTTAATTTGGGGAGAAGGTTTCAAGCCGCAGAGGTCTACAAGCACTGATATGGCTACTGATCCCGCTTGGCTAGGCCTCGTGCCCTCGCAAAATGTTTCGAAATTTGTATCTCTAAAGTTGCCCAAACTCATAAAATGCCTTAGTTTATCACAGTTAGAGACTGATTTCAGTATATTAGACTGTTCTTTTGATAATGATAGCAATTATCCCTGTAGTTTATCCAGATTCCCGATGGTTAATTCTGACTCGATCGCCGAATGATGAGGGCGACGCCATGTTTGTTTATAAACAGTCCCTACTTGACCTTTGATATTTGCATCTCTATCCGCATATGACCCCAACGGATATCGTTTTTATCCGTTGGCTTTATCCTGCCGAGAAACCTACCCATTATATGATAAAACTATATACCTTTCCTCACAGGAAAGTTAAAGATCATCTACTGACGTATTAATCAATAAACCATTAATGCGCGACGGCGAGATAGCGTATGATAAACGGTTTGGGCAACGTTGAAACGTGTTTCAATTGCCATTATAAATCCGCATTTCTGTTATTAGTTAAACGATAGTATTTGTAAAACAAACAACATATTCAAGGTCAGAAGAATCCATGGGTGAGTGAGTGAGTTTGGTTTAACTCCGCTTTTAACAGTATTCCAGTCATATCGAGGCGTGTCAGCTTAATGTGGGAGGAAAGCCCGACGTGATACAGGTCTCAGACGTTAACCACTTCGGTCCAAAACCACGAGCACGGGTATGGTGCTGACAAACCTAAAAACATAATCGAGGCGAACCGGGATTTCTGGCGTGCCCAAGGGACGCAACTCTGCACAGGGAATAGCGACGCCTTAGACGACTGGGCCACCCGTGCCCTCAGAAGATTGCATGGAGAAACCTCGGTGAACGATAAAAACGATATACAAGATATGAATGAACACCCTTGTCTGTGTTATTCCATCATTGACAAAGGCCAATTGTGGCAAGCGACTGGTGTGTGTATTGATTGATTGATTGATTGATTGATTGAGTGAGTGAGTATGGTTTTACGCCGCTTTTAGCAATATTCCAGCAATATCACGGCGGGGGACACCAGAAATGGGATTCACACATTGTACCCATGTCGGGAATCGAACCCGGGTCTTCGGCGTGACGACCGAACGCTTGAACCACTCGGAGGCCTGTCAACAAACTAGAAATATAATTTTATCAAAGATTTTAAAGATCACATTGAAGATATCATTACCTATTCATTTGTTCCTTCGTATAATGAAAATGCCTGGATAATTTACGAGGAAAATAAAAAAAACCTTCCAAATACCTATTGATTGTAAGTATATGCAAAGCCCTTGTCTTATAAAACCATAATTCATCAGGTGAATATAGGGATCGATAAATCGATTCTGTCACGACAAAGACAGTCAACTCTCCATCGTGAATTGCTCGTGGGTTCCCCAAAGATTTAGTGAACACTGAGTTTGGTGTCAATTTTGGAAATGTATAATTACTATAGTAACTGGGCCACCCGTGGCCCCCGGTTCCTCATAGAAGTAAACGACCATAATATTATGTCCCCCATTACTCCCACAATAAGCTAACAAGCCGTGATGCAAATAACTGTTTAAACCGGCGTTAAACCCAATATGCAATCCGACTAAGAATCGGCAGTCAGGTGACTACACGCGGCTATATTTTGCAGCGTGTTCAGTGTACGTACATTACCAGCACGAATCGGGAAGAAAAGTGTGTGCAGATGTAGTATTTAAAAAACCTCCGACCAAGATCACTGCTAAATATGACCGCTTGCTGTCACCTGACCATGGAGCCTTACCCGGATTGTAACCACGTGATCAAAAGGAAGTTTATCCCAACTTGGCTTGTTTCCATTTTATGAGTTACAAATCAGAAGCCATCAGTAGAAAGTTCTTAGAACTGATTACAAATCATCTGCTTTGTTTATTTGTTGTTTAACACCACACTCAGATATAAACATACCATATGACGCCGGTCTGTAAATAAATCAAGTCTGGACCAGACAATCCAGTGACTAACACCATGAACATCGACATGCATCAACCAAGTCAGCGAGCCTGACAATCCGATCCCTTCAGTCGCCTCTTACGACAAGCATTCTTACTCAAGGCCTATTCTAACCCGGATCTTCAGCTGACCTACATTATAAGTATCAGCACAAAGGCTTCCCTCGTCGCTTATTGATCATCGCGATATTTCGTGATTCTAACATTCGGGATTCCTTAACATGAGCACCTTGTCTGTTATTTACGTGCAATATGTCATGATTATTCAGAACAAACACCATAACCCCATAACAAAGTCCCCGTTGATTATGGTCTCCGTGATATCCTGAAATGTCCAGAAGATGTGACCCATTGCAAACGAACTGGACAGGTTTAAAACGGGGAAGGATCTCCGTTCTTTAATGAGGTCGAGTTTTGGTTGCGGTTGGTTTAAACGCGGCTTTGAACAATATTTCAAATATAGCCATTTCATTTTCAAGAAGGTAGGGTGTGTGTGGGGAGTTCTAATGTAATAATCAAGCCCTTATTTTACCGAAAATATGTTATGTGCCCTTTTCTTGTATTGACGTATCGAGAAGTCAGTGTATTGGAAAGAGTACTTGAGCTCCTAAACATTAAACAAAATGATGGTCGTTTATCGTTTTGTTCTCCCGCAATTTGCAAATTATCATTCTCATTCTGTATCAGCAATCATCCTCTTTTCCGGATCGCGTGGCGTGACGCAGCAGGTTCAACCGCCACCTCAGAGAGACCAGGTTCCCTCGCCATCTCAAGGAGCACAGATTCCCCCGCCGCTCCAGGGACTGCAGGTTCCCCTGCGACCTTAGGGAGCCCAGGTTCCCCCGCCAAACTAGGGAGCCCAGGTTTCCCCGCCACCTCAGGGAAGCCAAGGTTCCCCCGCCAACTCAAGGAGCACAGATTCCCCCGCCACTCCAGGGACTGCGAGTCCCCTGCGACCTCAGGGAGCCCAGGTTCCCCCGCCAAACTAGGGAGTCCATGTTCCCGGCCACCCAAGGGACCACCGATTCCAACGCCATCACAGGGAGTCCAGATTCCCCCGCCACCCAAGGGAGCCAAGGTTTCCCCGCCACCCAAGGGAGCCCAGGTTCCCCCGGCACCACAGGGAGCCCAGGTCCCCCGCCACCCAAGGGAGCCCAGGTTTCCCCGCCACCTCAGGGAAGCCAAGGTTCCCCCGCCGCCCCAGCTTCCCCCGCTAACTCAGGGAGCCCAGGTTCACCCGCCACCCCAGGTACCCCAGGCACCCCAGGTTCACCCGCCTGCTCAGGCACCCCAGGTTCACCCGCCTCCCCAGGTTCCCCCTTCTCCCCAGGTTCACCCGCCACCCCAGACACCCCAGGTTCACCCACCACCCCAGGCACCCCAGGTTCACCCGCCTCCCCAGGTTCACCCGCCACCCCAGGCACCCCAGGTTCACCCGCCACCCCAGACACCCCAGGTTCACCCGCCTCCCCAGGTTCACCCGCCACCTCAGGGAACCCAGGTTTTCCCACATCCCGGGGAGCCCAGGATCCCACGCCACCTCAGGGACCCTTGGGTTCCCCCGCCACCTCAGGAAGCCCAGCTTTCTCAGCCACCTCAGTGAGCCTAGGTTCCCCCGCCACCTCAGGAAGACCAGCTTCCTCAGCCACCCAGGCACCCCAGGTTTCCCCGCCACCTCAGGGAGCCTATACTTCCCCCGCCACCTCAGGGGGCCCAGCTTTCTCAGCCACCTCAGGGAGACAAGATTTCTCCGCCACCCCAGATTTCCCCGCCACTACAGGGAGCCCAGTTTTTTCTGCCACCCCAGCTCTCCCTGCCACCTCAGGGAGCCAAGCTTTCTCCGCCATCTCAGGGACACAAGGTTCACCCGCCACTTCAGGGTCCCTTGCTTTTGCCTCGCCACCCCAGGGAGCCCAGGTCCTGCAAGCTCCCCAGGCAAAACAGGTTCCCCCGCCACCTCAAGGATCCCAGCTTTTCCCGCCACCCCGGTTCCCTAACTATGGGTAATCATTCAGCAGAAGGAAATTCGGTAGACCAATACTACAACATGCATTACACATTACATTTCAATAATCATATGACATAGATACAAACTAAGACTAAAAGTAATTCGGTTCTGGTGGCAGCGGTGTTAAGGCTGCTAGGCACGAGCGCCCCCTGAAGTGTTCAACATACGTCCTACACTCTGTGTAACAGTATTATTATCAAAATAGTGGTCGCTCTATCTAAAAACTTGTGGCAATCTGTGTAACTGGTTGTGAGAATATTTCCATTTTCCTACGATGTCCCTGTGCTAAAGTATCGTGTAGGAGTCTCTTTTAAGACAGATGTGATCACGGAATCAAACACATTACATTGTAACTATACTTCATTGTCTTCAGGTTGAAATGTACGTCGTTTTCCAGGTATATGACATCAATATTCTTTCCACTTATGTACAGGCTGTTGTTGTAGTAGACAAGGCTTCTTATCCTATCATTGAATTCCAACATTTCCGTTGTAGTATTAGTTGATAAAGATCGCTTTATCACCTTCTTGTTGTCGCTGAAATATAGGACATCGTGAATAGTGTCAATAGTAACAGCAATAACGTCACGTCTCATGTCTATCTGATGCAGCCTTTTCCCATTATAATCAACAGACCACAACCCATCATGATTTTTACAGAAATAGATCATCTTCTTCCTGGAGTCTACAGCAATACCTAGGGGACTGTTTGTTCCGTGATTACGCAAGTCCACAATGCCCTGAAAGTTTCTCCCAAATGTGGACATACGACTGATTGTCTTCGTCGGATGGTATGTGGTAAGGAAGATGAGTCGCCTGTCAACATCGACTGTCATTCCGTATGATTTGATTCCCTCTCGTAGTGTTGTGACACCCGACACGTCCAGCCTTGTGGAGAAGATGCCACGTGGTGACATTCTACTGAATATCAGTCTCCTGGACACAGGCTCGTATGTTAGCGCATGAACGTATGATGTATGCAGATAAGGATACGTCTTCATGTCGTTTTTATCTATGGTAATCTGATGGGGATGCTGTAAGGAGCCAGATATATATTGTACAACCAATATTCTCGTCTTGTCTTGAAACTGTCGTGTTGTAGGTGTTGTAGCCACTGAAGTGAAGGGACGTCCAGATGGAGTCGTGGGTGAGTAATGTGGTATTGGTTGTGTTCTGTCAGCATTGGTCTGAAGGTCACGTGTCTTGTTATCGTAATTCAGATGAAAGTCTCCTAATGTCTGCACATCTTCTGCATGACTGGCGTTAATCACAATCAAGTCATTTCTTAAACGTACGTTCTGTTTTACAAGGGTCTCAACTGTTCGTTGGGTTTCATTAATCTGTGCGTGCACGTCAGCACTCTGTCGTATGGCGAGTAACACGTCATTTTTTACTAAACTCACATCCTTTTCAACATGGGTCACGTGATGGCGTGTCAGGTTCAACTCTGTCTTTAGTTCACTCACCTGCTGTTCACATGCATCTTTGTCTTTCACAGTGTCCAGTGGTTGTCTTGTTTTAGTCTGTCCGACCTCCCTCAACTGTCTTGTGAGACTCAGTGTCTGTCGCTTCATCTGCTGATATCCACGCTTGAGGTGTCTAATCTGGGACATCACGTGACTGTTTACCGTGTCATCCAACCACTCTATTTGACTACGCATATAGGAAGGTACAATCTTCTCCGTCAAATCCGATCTCAGCAGTAACTCCAAAATGTCCATCTTATTTATGACTCTCGTCTCCATTCCTGGAACGTCAGATTTCAAGTGGTTCAGTTCCACTTTCAGATGGTTAATTTCTTTCTCAAGCAAACTCATCTGATTGACAACTGCTGCGATATTTTCGTGTCCATGAACCACAGATGAGGCTGCTACAAGCAGCACCAACACACACAAACTCGCCATGTCAGCTGGTAATTGTATAACTGTGTCAGAGTCGTGTAGTCCGGAGCTAAGTGTCACGTGACTATCGCATTACATCTAACCTGGCAGCGGGCCAAACGGAAACACTGGAATCTAACATGGCAACAGTCTCAGAGCAGTGTTCACTTGAGTTTCCCATCACGTGACTACACGGGTAATATCCATGAAGTCAGCTCACTGCCATTTGATCAATCAGTGGTGGGTGTACAGGATCGATCGATCCAATAATACATTCATCTCAATGTGTGACCTGACAAATTTAAAGTTGATAATTTCAAAACTTAGAAATACCACATGTTCTACAAATATATATATATATATATATATATATATATATATATATATATATATATATATGTACGGATTATTAGTTAAATGATGCATACTATTACACAACTTCATTTGTTTATAGTAATTAGTCATTTCCCACTATATCAGGAAAGATATAACTTCTAACACATGAGAGTGTGAGTTGTTTAATCTGCAATGTCACCATAGCACGGGTCAGCGAAACAGTTCAGTATCAATTAGGAAGTACGTGACTACGTTTTCCTCTTCGCATAATTTCAGAGACATGTGTATTGACAAAACCAGCCAATTACTCACAGGTTGCATGGAAAACAACTCTTTGATCGAAACCTTAGAATTATACTATATTTTGTTTTAAAAACAAACTATTATGACACGTTCCTCTTCCTTGTCACTGGCAGCTCACTAACACCGCTACCAATCAATCAATCAATCAATCAATCAATCAACCAATCAATCAATCAATCAATCAATCAATCAATCAATCGATCGATCAATCAATCAATCAATCAATCAATCAATCAATCAATCAATCAATCAATCAATCAATCAATCAATCAATCAATCAATCAATCAATCAATCATTCATTCATTCATTCATTCATTCATTCATTCATTCATTCATTCATTCATTCATTCATTCAATCCATCAATTAATCAATTAATCAATCAATTAATCAATCAATTAATCAATCAATTAATCAATCACATTATTTAGGTGGCCACATCGTCTGAGGCGCCGCCATTCGCCGTGCAGTGTTGCGTCACTTTGGCATGCCAGAAACCTATGACTGTGGGTTTAAATCCCTGTTCGCCCTATGTTTCTAGGTTTGTCAGCACCATACCCGTGCTCGATAGTTTCACCAAAGTGCTAAATGTCTGAGACCTACATCACTTCGGGCTTTTTTCATCCCACATTAAGCTGACACGCCGTGATATAACTGGAATACTGTTAAAACCGACGTTAAACCCAACTCACTCACTATAGCAATTATATATTTCCAAAATTGACCCAAACCCTCAGACGTTTATCACTTCGGTGAAACCCACGAGCACGGGTATGGTGCTGACAAACCTAGAAACCTAATCGGGGCGAACCTGGATTCGAACCCATAATCATAGGTCTCTGGCGGGCCTAAGGGACGCAAATCTGCACAGCGATTTGCGTTGCCTTACATGACTGAGCTCCCCCGTGTCCCCGTTCCCCCTAAAACGACCATATGTGCCCCATTACTTCGGGCTTTCCTCCCACATTAAGCTAACAAGCTGTGATGCCAAAAAAATACTGTCCAAACCGGCGTTAAACCCAATTTACAATCCGACTAAGAATCGTCAGTCAGGTGACTGCAAACGACTATATCTTGCAGCGTGTTCAGTGTACCACATTTCCAGCACGAAGTGAAATTAAAGTAGGTGCTGATGTAGTACTTAAAAAACACTATCGACAAAGAACGCTGCTAAATATGACCCCACGTGATCAAAAGGATGTTTATCCCAATTTGGTTTGTTTCCATTTTATGAGTTACAAATGAGAAGCCATCAGAAGAAAAGTTCTGAGAACTGATTACAAATGATCTGGTTTGTTTATTTGTTGTTTAACGCCACACTCAGATATACACATACTATATGACGCCGGTCTGTAAATAATTCAAGTCTGGACCAGACAATCCAGTGACTTACACCATGAACATCGACATGCATCAACCAAGTCAGCGAGCCTGACAATCCGATCCCTTCAGTCGCCTCTTGCGACAAGCATGGGTTGCTCAAGGCCTATTCTAACCCGCATCTTCAGCTGACCTACTTTATAAGTATCAGCACAAAGGCTTCCCTCGTTGTTAATTGATCATCGCGATATTTCGTGGTTCTAACATTCGTGATTTCTTAACATGAGCACCTTGTCTGTTATTTACGTGCAATATGTCATGATTATTCAGAACAAATACCATAACCCCACAACAAAGTCCCCGTTGATCCTGGTCTCCGTGATATCCTGAAACGTCCAGAAGATGTGTCCCGTTACAAACGAACGGGACAGGTTTAAAACGGGGAAGAATCTCCGTTCTTTAATGAGGTCGATTTTTGGGTGCGGTTGGTTTAAACGCGGCTTTGAACAATATTTCAAATTTTGCCATTTCATTTTCAAGAAGGTAGGGTGTGTGGGGGGAGTTCTATTTTAATAATCAAGCCCTTATTTTACCCAAAATATGTTATGTGCCCATCTCAGGTATTGACGTATCGAGAAGTCAGTGTATTGGAAAGAGTACTTGAACTCCTAAACATTAAACAAAATGATGGTCGTTTATCGTTTCGTTCTCCCGCAATTTGCAAAATATCATTCTCATTATGTATCAGCAATCATCCTCTTTTCCGGATCGCGTGGCGTGACGCAGCAGGTTCAACCGCCATCTCAGAGAGACCAGGTTCCCCGCCATCTCAAGGAGCATAGATTCCCCCGCCGTTCCAGGGACTGCAGGTTCCCCTGCGACCTCAGGGAGCCCAGGTTCCCCCGCCAAACTAGGGAGCCCATGTTCCCCGCCACCCAAGGGACCACCGATTCCAACGCCATCCCAGGGAGTCCAGATTCCCCCGCCACCCAAGGGAGCCAAGGTTCCCCCGCCATCTCAAGGAGCACAGATTCCCCCCGCCGCTCCAGGGACTGCAGGTTCCCCTGCGACCTCAGGGAGCCCAGGTTCCCCCGCCAAACTAGGGAGCCCATGTTCCCCGCCACCCAAGGGACCACCGATTCCAACGCCATCCCAGGGAGTCCAGATTCCCCCGCCACCCAAGGGAGCCAAGGTTCCCCCGCCATCTCAAGGAGCACAGATTCCCCCCGCCGCTCCAGGGACTGCAGGTTCCCCTCCGACCTCAACTAGGGAGTCCAGATTCCCCCGCCACCCAAGGGAGCCCATGTTGCCCCGCCTCCCGAGGGTGCCAAGGTTACCCAGCCTCCCCAGGGAGCCCAGGTTTTCCTCCCACCTCAGGGAACACAGGTTCCCCCACCATCCCAGGGAGTCCAGATTCTCCCGCCGACCCAGGAAGCCCAGATGACCCCGGCTCTCCAGGGAGCCCATGTTGCCCTGCCGCCTCAGGGAGCCCAAGTTCCACCACCGACCCTGTTAGCCGAAGTTTCCCCGCCGACCCAGGGAGCCCAGGTTCCCCAGGGAGCCAGGGAGCCCCTATTGCCCCGCCGCTCCAGGGGCCCTGGTTACCCCACCTCCCCATGGAACCCATGTTCCCCAGGGAGAAGAGATTCTCCCGCCTCCCCATGGAGCCCAGGTTCCCCCGCCGTCCCATGGAGTCAAGGTTCCCCCGCCATCTCAAGGACCACAGATTCCTCCGCCGCTCCAGGCAGCCCAGGTTCCCCCGCCACCTCAGGGAAACCACGTTCACCTGCTACCCCAGGGAGCCAAGGTTCCCCCGCCATCCAAGGACCACAGATTCCCCCACCACCCCAGTAAGCCCAGGGTCCCCCACCAACCCAGGGACCACAGATTTACCCGCCGCTCCAGGGACCACAGATTCCAACGTCATCCCAATGGAGCCGAGGCCACCCGTAAAACCCTTAAAAACATATTATGTATGTAATGTTGTTACAGCAGGTTACAAAAAGAATGTTCCTATTTAAAGCAATTAGATTAATCTTTGAAGAGATAAAAATCAGGTAAACATATATTAATGTTCAGGTCTCCATATTTCCTATAATCCCCGTCAGCATGTATTTACAACGTGTGGGCGATTGATAAAATGTTACTTTTGGAACCAACTTGACCCGTGAAGATCCGGGTAGAGAATAGGTCTTCAGCAACCAATGTTTGCGGTAAAAGACGACTTTCCTTGTCGCCGTCATGTAGCTGGAATATTGCTGAGTGCGGCGTTAAACAAAACACAAACAGACAAATAATTACGGTTAGGTAGTATTAAACTGAAAATGCCACTGAAAATATTGATATGTTATCTATCACCTGTATTTTCCATGTTTTTTACTTGTATTTTGCAAATTGTATTCATCAGCTATCAATAGGGATCGCGAAACAAGCCTTTATTAAAGTCTAGTAAACCATACAAGCTCTGTAAATATACTATTGCAAATTAGTAAATACTGAGAAGAAGATTCTTTGAAAAGCGGATAGTAATCTTTAATAACTGATAAGTAAACTGCACTAATCTACGATAGACCACATGTACTAGTCTAGTTAGCAAATATTTACTTACTGATCGGTAAAATCTCGTAACAACCTTGAGTCTGATTGGGCAGTGAATTTCGCTAAGTAACTTGGTAACTGTTTCTGTCAGTGAGTAGTTATTTGGAGAATGTTCATTGACATTGACTACACTGCAGGGGCGGTGTAATGATGTGACGGTGGCCAAGCAGCAATCACCCCGATTATCCATTTTATATCAACATTCTATCGCGAACAATTCGCCGAAGTGAAGAGATCATTCGTCTGGAATCAAAAGATTCAGGCGACTTCATGGGCGGTGGGGTAGCCTAGTAGGCCTCCACTCGTCATATCGAAGACCCGGGTTCGATTCCCCACATAGATACAATGTGTGAAGCCCATTCTGGTGTCCCCAGTCGTGATTTTGCTAAATATTGTTAAAAGCAGCGTAAATAGAGGTTATCACGCGAGTGTGTTTGGGGATGGTAAATATCCTGCATTAGGAATACATAGTGTTTATTCCTAATACAAGATATTTACCATCCCCAAACACACAAGCGTGATAACCTCTTTATCATATAATGTCATTCTTTAATTCTGCGCTTCAAAATCGCTTTCCCTCTCACAAACATTACCGAAACATTGCGAGTTTCCCTGGAATGCGCGCATTAATATGTATTACGTCACAGGGTAAGTGATGTGTCAGTCGGACAGTGACATTAGCCTATATAGTTCCAACTGAAATCTGTTTCTTATACAGTGGCGAAGCAACATATACGCAAAACAACAATTGTTTTTAATTGCCTTTCGCGGCAATCCATCGGTCTGTCCGCTAGAGTAACTGCCCTTTGTCAAAGGGAAGCTACTCTAACCCTAGTCTATGAGACGTCACGGCCATGGTCAGACGTTGTTGGCAGTCGGTCTGTCCTGTCATAACGTTAAGAAGTGTAGTCAGATGTACACAGAGCGAAAAAACGAAACAAGGTAACAATTCAAACATATTTCGGCCAAATCCAACCATTTCAATTTGTGGAGAAGGTTTCAAGCCGCAGAGGTCTACCAGTCATGGCTACTGATCCCGCTTGGCTAGGCCTCGTGCCCTCGCAAAATTGTTTCGAAATTTATATCTCCGAAGTTGCCAAAACTTATAAAATGCCTTAGCTGCGTCACAGTAAGACACTGATTTTCAGTATATTAGACTGTCCTTTTGATAATGAAAGCAATTATCTCTGTAGTTTATCCAGATTCACGATGGTTAAATCTGACTCGATCGTCGAATGACGAGGGCGACGCCATGTTTGTTTATAAACAGGTAAAGTAGTCCCTACTTGACCTTTGATATTTGCATCTCTATCCGCATATGACCCCAACGGATATCGTTTTTATCCGATGGCTTTATCCTGCCGAGAAACCTACCCATTATATGATAAAACCATATTCACTCACGCTCTGATTTAAACCATGTTTTGATTGAAACATAATTCCTCTATAATTTTGTATAAAGACATGTAGTTGCGTCAGTTTCAAAATGCACGTTCAGAATGACCCGTAAAATCAGAATCAACTGCAAGAACAATGGCGTGATGTCATCATAATAGATTAAGGAAAGGGTTTGTCGTTTTTATTTACACTTGAGTCATCAAACACCGATAACCAATCACAATTCTCGTCGGTATGTGTTTAAGTGAATGTTTATGGTCATGTATGCTGCAGTGGCATCACAGTTTTCCAAGGATCTCTGTGCCTTAATTAGGTCTGTTTTGGGTGCGGTGGGTTTTGACGCGGCTTTGAACAATATTTCAAATACAATGTATAGCCATTTGATTTTCAATGAGGTGTGTGTGTGTTGGGGGGTGGGGGGTGGGGGTTGGGGGGTGGTGGTTGGTGGTCGGGGAGAGTTCTAATATAATAATCAAGCCCTTATTTTGCCGAAAATATGTATTGTGCCCTTTTCTTGAATAATCGAGAAAGAAATCAAAATCCACCCACCCCTCTTTGAAAATCAAATAGTTGCTCTCTAATAACTCAACATAAATCAGGATACTTCCAAAGTAGTCACGAATGTCGTTTCTCGCAAATTATCATTCTCATTCTGTATTAGCAATTAATTCTCTTTTTTGGATCGCCTGTGTACAGTATTATTATGACCCTCGCCACCTTAGAGAGCCCAGCTTACCCCGCAACCTCAGGGAGCCCAGGTTCCCCCGCCACCTCAGGGAAGCCAAGGTTCCCCCGCCGCCCCAGCTTCCCCCGCTAACTCAGGGAGCCCAGGTTCACCCGCCACCCCAGGCACCCCAGTTTAACCCGCCTCCCCAGGTTCACCCGCCACCCAAGGTACCCCAGGCACCCCAGGTTCACCCGCCTGCTCAGGCACCCCAGGATCACCCGCCTCCCCAGGTTCACCCGCCACCCCAGGCACCCGAGGTTCACCCGCCACCTCAGGGAGCCCAGGTTCCCCCGTCTGCCCAGGTTCACCAGACACCCCAGACACCCCAGGTTCACCCATCACCCCAGGCACCCCGGGTTCACCCGCCTCCCCAAGTTCACCCGCCACCCCAGGCACCCCAGGTTCACCCGCCACCCCAGGGACCCCAGGTTCACCCGCCTCCCCAGGCGCCCCAGGCACCCTAGGTTCACCCGCCACCCCAGGCACCCCAGGCACCCCAGGTTCACCCGCCACCCCAGGTACCCCAGGTTCAGCCGCCTCCCCAGGCGCCCCAGGCACCCCAGGTTCACCCGCCACCCCAGGCACCCCAGGTTCACCCGCCACTTCAGGGAGCCCAGGTTCACCCGCCACCCCAGGTTCCTCCGCCACCCCAGGGAGCCCAGGTTCACCCGCCACCCCAGGTTCCTCCGCCACCCCAGGGAGCCCAGGTTCCCCCGCCTCCCCAGGTTCACCCGCCACCTCAGGGAACCCAGCTTTTCCCACATCCCAGGGAGCCCAGGATCCCACGCCACCTCAGGGACCCTTGGGTTCACCCGCCACCTTAGGGAGCCCATCTTTCCCCAAACCTCTTAGGGAGCCCAGCTTTCTCAGCCACCACAGGCACCCTTGGTTCACCCGCCACTTCAGGGAACCCAGGTTTTCCGACATCCCGGGGAGCCCAGGATCCCACGCCACCTCAGGGACCCTTGGGTTCCCCCGCCACCTCAGGGAGCAAAGCTTTCTCAGCCACCTCAGGGAGCCTAGGTTCCCCCGCCACCTCAGGGAGACCAGCTTCCTCAGCCGCCCAGGCACCCCAGGTTTCCCCGCCACCTCAGGGAGCCTATACTTCCCCCGCCACCTCAGGGGGCCCAGCTTTCTCAGCCACCTCAGGGAGACCAGATTTCTCCGCCACCCCAGATTTCCCCGCCACTACAGGGAGCCCAGTTTTTTCTGCCACCCCAGCTTTCCCTGCCACCTCAGGGAGCCAAGCTTTCTCCGCCATCTCAGGGACACAAGGTTCACCCGCCACTTCAGGGTCCCTTGCTTTTGCCTCGCCACCCCAGGGAGCCCAGGTCCTGCAAGCTCCCCAGGCAAAACAGGTTCCCCCGCCACCTCAAGGATCCCAGCTTTTCCCGCCACCCCGGTTCCCTAACTATGGGTAATCATTCAGCAGAAGGAAATTCGGTAGACCAATACTACAACATGCATTACACATTACATTTCAATAATCATATGACATAGATACAAACTAAGACTAAAAGTAATTCGGTTCTGGTGGCAGCGGTGTTAAGGCTGCTAGGCACGAGCGCCCCCTGAAGTGTTCAACATACGTCCTACACTCTGTGTAACAGTATTATTATCAAAATAGTGGTCGCTCTATCTAAAAACTTGTGGCAATCTGTGTAACTGGTTGTGAGAATATTTCCATTTTCCTACGATGTCCCTGTGCTAAAGTATCGTGTAGGAGTCTCTTTTAAGACAGATGTGATCACGGAATCAAACACATTACATTGTAACTATACTTCATTGTCTTCAGGTTGAAATGTACGTCGTTTTCCAGGTATATGACATCAATATTCTTTCCACTTATGTACAGGCTGTTGTTGTAGTAGACAAGGCTTCTTATCCTATCACTGAATTCCAACATTTCCGTTGTAGTATTAGTTGATAAAGATCGCTTTATCACCTTCTTGTTGTCGCTGAAATATAGGACATCGTGAATAGTGTCAATAGTAGCAGCATAAACGTCACGTCTCATGTCTATCTGATGCAGCCTATTCCAATTATAATCAACAGACCACAATCCATCATCATCTTTACAGAAATAGATCATCTTCTTCCTGGAGTCTACAGCAATGCCACGGGGATTGAA